TTGAGATCATCTTCAGGGCCTGGGATTTACAAACTTTGTTTAAATTTAACAACTACATGTAGGATGTGGTGAATTTATACAATACAAAAAATATTTTTTTAATATATTCAAAGTGACACTGAGTGAATAGAAATACTTTGATTAAATATATAAAAAAATATATATATACTTTTTGCATTGAAATTCACTTATTCCACATCCTACATGTATTTGTTAAATTTAAACAATGTTTGTAAATCTCAGGCCCTGAAGATGATCTCAATAAAGATCGAAACGTTGGTACGATAAAGAAAATAATTTTTCTGAAAACTACATCACACCAGACCGCATCTCGTGATTTTCGAATAATTAATTTTCAAGTTTTATCCTCTTCAGAATTTTCATTGTGAAATTAAACCGTGATTTTCAGATGCTGTATGCGGGTGGAAATGAAGTTTTGGAAAACATCACCCATAGACGTGCGTAAACAAGTAAAAAAACACGAATCATAATATAAACACGTCAGAAACGAAAGAGATTCGTTCAAAAACCCCAAAACAACAGAAGATTTGGACGAGGGCATATTCAGAATGACGAAAACAATAATTCGAAAATAATACAATTTTCGGGAAAAAAACGGATTTTCTGGATGTTACATTCAGGTTTATAAACAAAAAAAATAGCGGTATCACATAAACTATTCTGTGAAACCAATCGCGTTTGGTCCGAAACGGGGGTGAAAATATTTCACCATCTTCGTAGAGATCGTATCAAAATTTGTAAACAATTTTAACTTTATGTCCCTTTTCCTCAAAGTTTGCAATAGGAAAGACATTTTTCTTTATATCAGTAATCAGACTGATCGTTCGATTTTTTAATGTGTTGCGTTTAACAAAATATACAATCATACAAAAGATTTGGAAGACAAAAAAATACGCACTTGAATTAAAAATTGCACAATGCCACAAATGAAGATCTTCGATTAAACATAATGAAACTAAAATATCTTCATCTCTTGTTGGGGAGGGGGGGAAGAACACAAATATTGTCTTTTTGACCGCAATATTTGCAAGTGTTTTGTGTCTTTTTCCATATCAAGGAGAACAAGTCCCGTGGTTTTTTTGGCAAAAGTTTTATATCCAGCTATCAATTAAATTGTTTTTTTAATGTTAAATCCTTCAGGGACGTGGTCTACTATCATTAGTACTAATTAAATCTAACGTTAATATATTGGACGTGAGTGTATGTGTTTATGTCATATCTTTAAATATTGGATTTTTTTTAGAGTAGAGTTTTAAAGTTTATTTTTCTATGGATAAGTTTGCTAATTAGCAAAGAATTAATTTGAAATGTTAATTCGGTGTAGTTTAATTTTTATATATAAAACGATGACCAATAAAAATTTCGTGCCATTTCCTCCTGTGGTCTGCAAAGTGATGAACCTGTAATTTGGTCGTACCGATCATTTTGACCTGCGTATCCTCGCCGGGACGGTCTATAATGACAGACACGACACACTGAAGGTGGCAAAATGCGTAAGCACATATGGTCCAACAAAAATTTCGTGAGCAAAACTTAACGCCCAAATCCGCACGACTTAACGCAAATACGAAAACATACGATGCACAGACTGCAAAAAAACATGCACAAAAACATAAAACACACTGAGGATGGCGAAATGCGATAGATAACTACAAAATTACATATAAAAAGATATTCAATGCTTGTTTTCTCATTTGGTTAAAATTGCGTCAACAACTTTTTTATAAATATTCTTTATTCAACATTTTTGAATATATTTTTTTTAATTGTTCAGAAATAACAGATCATTAGTGGAAAAGGCCTGTTGATTTTAACACCAAAAGAAAACATGACATTAAAACTTCGCCAAGAGGTTGGGCAATGCGCCAAATATTCGTCGACGTGAATTGTTTCTATCATTAAGTCTGTTGTTATGCTAAGTTTCTGTAACTTAAACAATTTTACTCTGCTTTTTGTTGCACCATAACTGGATGCGAATTTTAACCTTACAGTGGAGATTTTGCCCGCAATGTGTCAGGGTCGTTTTGTAGAGAAAGGCCATCAGTCAGGAATGACCGAGAATTCGCCAATGACTTCTTTTCTCTTTTCAGATCGGCCACTATATACCGTATTGTGCACATTTAAAAACAAAATATATATGTCGCAAATTGAAGGATTGGAGAGAGAGAGAAAGAGAGAGAGTGAGAGAGAGAGAGAGAAAGAGAGAGAGAGAGAGTGAGAGACCGACAACAGCGAGATATTGTGGTGTATGATAGAGAAATGGATTTGACATATAGCATACAGATAAGTAAGTAAATAAATAGATACATAAATAAAATTATATGAAAGTGTGATAATACAGATTCAGCGAAAGGGAGAGACAAAAAAGAAGAAGACGAAAGAGGAGCAGAAAAATCGAAGATAATTTGCGATAATTAAACTTATACTTTTCAATAATTATTTAATGAATTATTACAGTTTGTTATCACGTAATAAGTATAGTTAAGTCAAGTATCGTGATACACTTAACTTCCAACTGTCCTGGTGTCGAGAAGGAGGAGTCAAAACCATTTTACAATACTGTTTACTACATATTATTCTCAATTAAAATTCAATGGGTTAAGCCGTGATTCGAACCCAGAACCGCATTCTTAGTAAACACAATTCGCAAGCCTAATCACTGGTCCACATCGGTCACTCTTATCACAAGATATGGGGATGTGAGTACACGATGAATCAGAAGGACAAATATATCTTACACATTTCAACCTGATAATAATATAATTCTAATGTAATATTCTTGTCTTAACTGACATTATTAAGAATTGAGAGAAAAACCTTTTAAAAGAAGAAATAAGGGAAAAAATATTAATAATCACTCTCACCTTTATATGTAACTTTATATATATAAAATATTAAAAGGCAAAAGCATAAAAATGATCGTTTTAACATTTTTTGTCCCTTAAAAATCGATCTTGTAATGGTTGTGGTGATCGAAGTGATGCACCTCCACCCCAACACTATGTGAAGTAAAAAATTTCCAAACAAGTCTGCACTCCATGCGTCATATGTGTTTGTGAGAGAAATGGAATTAATTTTTAACCGGTCCCTAAGATTATTTTACCTAAATGTAAATAACCGTGGCCGCCTGCGGTTAGTCAGGCGGGATTCCCGTTGTGGTCAGTTATACCAAGAGCTGAATTTTTCGCCGGTTGTTTTGGTCGTGCAAGGACGTGAATCAAATCGTTTCTACGGAAATTTCCACCATTTGTCAATTTTTTTTTGTAATCCTGATCGTTCTTCGGATAGTTTACGAAGTCAACAATACACGAAGAATGGAAAAGAAGGAGGGTGAAACATATACGCGCCCTCGTCCTTCGTGTAATTTATGACGAAGACCCTCTGGGGTTTTCCACCCGGTCGGACGGTTCAGCATTCTCAGGAATAAAGGACTATTCTTACCCCGATTTAGAAGACCTTAATTTAGTCGACTACTTTATTTTTTTTGGGGGGGGGGCGGATTTGGCCGGTCCTTGCCCGTGTATAATGTGTACATGACGGTCTATTATTATTATCCGCTAGCTCTAAGTCATAAGATACCTTTTTTGAAATCTTTTCCCGACTTTGCATGTATAAAACCAACTATTTAATACACATGATAACTGTTTAAAAAATAATCAGGTACAACTGATGACTTTATTTTTTATTTGAGTTACGACGGTAGGCTAAAAGGTTCAACAAGTATTTAGTGTTTCTAGGTTCGAATCCCGACATAGCCCATGACTTTTTGATTGAAAAAAAAAGTATAAAACAAGTATTTTACAAAAATATAAAACAAGTAACGCCCAACGTAAGATAAGCCTCTTGTACACAGGAATTACTTTAGATTTGGTCTAGGAACGAAATCTCATTACCATTGTTGTTTCAATAAAATTTGCGACTAAGCGTAAATAAATTTAATATGACTTAAAATTTGAAAATTTATTGATTATGTGATTCTATTTTGGTTAAATCAAAGAAATTATAACCTCTACTATTTCTATAAAAATAACAATAAAGAAAACAAACGGAATGACGATTTTCATAACATAATAATGATCAAAAATATCTTTTAACGACCTGAATTCCGTCAGTACATTCTACAATCTGATAAAGTGGGTTGGAGAAAAACATTTCATTATGAATGTTGAAACATTCCAGAAAATATGGAAAACACATATAAAAGGATAGAATGATGTAACAGAATTTAACAACCAAAGTAAAGTTCAAATTAAGTTTTTTAAAACTATTATTTTCATAAACAATAACCGTAATAAATTTTGAAATGTAATCCAAATTTTTCAAAATAATAATAAAATATAAAAGGGTTTATCTGTACTAAATTACTAATGAATAATGATAAAAAAATCCCACGAATGCTGAAAATTTTAAATACTTCAAATTAATTTATAAATAAACCATGAAATATTTAATACATTTTGATAAGAAAATTTTATATTTATTTAAGAAAAGTAATAATTTGTGGAATATAATGAGTATCGAATAAATAATTGACCATGATGTCATGAATGTTATGAGAAATTAACTATGAATTATTTTATCGGTTTGCTTGCAATTTACCAGCAATTTTGATTGCCACTGATAAACTACATATTTATAACTGTACTTCTAAAAAAATGTTAAAATGATTTTGGGCAATGAATAAAAGTTCTTTAGATTTTTAATAACCAGTTAAGATTATTTTTTTAAATGGTCACGGTATGGTGCTTGGTGAGTAAACACTATTCCGCAGTTTGTTTGACCCTGATCATCCTGATATAGGCGTTTCACCACTTTTGTTTTATTCGGTGTTTCCAAGGTTCGAGATATCACATGAAAAAAATGGTGAAAGGATCCAGTAAAATTGTACTCCCTTTTATACCACTCACTGCCAGTGTTGCCTTAGGTTTTTCCCTAACTATTTTATTTATATTTTTTATAAAACTTGGAATATTCCCTACCTTTACAGGCAAATTCAGTCGGCTCGCTTAAAAATCCCCAGTTGGCGTCTGTGAACTGTAAGACAGGCGCGAGTAAAGGAATGTTCATCAGCATAGATTCAGGACCTCCTGCTTCGATTAGAAGTACATTCCATTCTGCTATCTGTAAATTCAAAAAAACATAATACTATCACGATAAACGAAAGCAAAGTCAAAGAATCAAAGAAATATGGAGAAAATATTGTGTACGTTTACAAACACAAAATTGTGAAGTTTACCACCCTTTCAATAACACTTTCTAGGTATGAAATAACGACAAAAAATATTAAAATGTATAGATTATTATTTTTATCTTAAATATCTTGCAAAAGTTAAATGTTATAGTTCTTAACTCTGAAATGAATACATACAAAATATAAAATAATATTTATCGTTTTCATAAACTGAACTAAAACTATGTTTTTGGCAGTTGTTTTCTTCCAGCCCTTGATAGCACAGTTCCAGAGAAGGTTCGTCTTCCAGTTCATTTTCCTTCATATTTGTAACGCTATCTTCATTAAACCATTAAAATCCGCAAAACGTCTATTTTTAGTTTTAGCGATTTTTGACGTTGAGCTTCAGATAGTGCATGACCGACATCAAAAAGTCTTTAAGATAAGTGTCGATAAGCGTTATTTAAATATAATTTTTTTTTTTTTCAATTTTAGAAACTTTAACTTTTTAACTTGTTTCAAACTTACCAAACTTGCCCAGGGATAAAAAAGAGATAGTTTAATGTTGTGTCGTGTATTGTAGAAGATATTTTTTTTAGCGTAAGTAAAAATTAGCTTGACTTTTTTCTTTGCTGATATTTTTGATTATCCTATTGCAAAAACCAAACAAAATCTATTTAAAGATGAATTCATCGGTACTCAACTTTCTCTTATCAGTTTCCTAATAAAGTCACCAACTCACATTCAAGTTAAGTTGCGCCAGGCGACACCATAACAAAAATGGTCACACATATGTCATTTTATTTCTAAATACGTCAAGTATTGTTTGTAAATTTATTTTAGAACCCTCAGTTTCATCAATTCTTTTGAAACATTTGAAAACTTACACAACTAGCTACATCTCAAAATAGATTCCTTTTAAAAGATCGATTTGTCTGGCGGAGACGACGAGTGTCGAAACTATATAAATGAACGACTCCTGATGTTTTTTCCTTGTTAATGACTCTTGCATCCAATTATGCAACGATCCGGTGAAAAAGATAATTTGTCCCCTGTTTTTTTTTCTCTTGTTACGGGTAAAATCAGAAATGGGTGAAACGAAAGTTACTATTAATAATATTTTTCACGCCCTGCTGTCCTACTGCCGTAGAGAAACAGAAAGGATTTTGACCTTCGGTTAAAAAAAAAATCTAATAGCTTTTAACACAATCAACATCATTACACAGGAAATTGTAAGCTTAACTACTTTCTGGCAACACGTTCGCAAGGTATAGCCAGCATAACACTATCCACCACATACTATATATTTAAAACATTTGAAAGAAAACGACCAAGAAATAATTGAACAAACAAATATAACGTTGCATAAAGTTTGTAATTAACTGAAAACATTTTGAATGCTTAATAAAATCGGAAAGTCGACCGGAGGTCGTCAAATAAGCATTAGATTTAAATCGTGCATTAGTGTTATCCTAGTTATCGAAATAACTTTAATAGAGATTAAAAAATAATACAGTTCTTTCTTATCAAGTGTTTTAAAAACTAATTCAAACGGCTTGGTCTTCTTCAGTTATCTTACAATATGCTCACTGTGCAGCAGGCTGCTAGGCTGCTGACCTCGGCGTTAGGGTGGCTCTGAAGGTATAATGTTTATAAGGGTTGTGATTTCATGTCGATCTCTGAGTATGTCTCCATTGCGTCCATACTAAGGAACATATTTTGTATTTCGTAGTTCTGTTTGAAAACGTTGTGATAATATTATTTCTTTTGGCACAACTTCCGAGTTGTATACCAAATGTCCTTGTAGGTTTTAGTATATGATTCTATTTTATTTTGTATTGATAGTTGGGAATTCCTTCAGGTATTGGAGTTACGTCTAGGGATAGGGATAAAAGAGGCGCCACATAGCTATTGCAGCTCGTCCTGAGTATATCTACTATAACTCAATGCCCAGCTTTAGGTTGTTAAACAACTTCCATAGCCTTGCCAGCTTCCAACTTCCAGGATCTTGCTTGTGGCTTTTCCTCTCCTAGTTGCAAGAATCTGCACCTACATAGAACAGTTGTCAAGTTCTTTCTTTTATTTTTTGATATTTGAGTCCAATATAATTTTTATCTCGTGTTTTGCCTAAATATTTCACTGCATTCTGGGATGATATTACTTTACCATCGAAGGCTTGGTTTGTCTACTTAAAACGGATTTCTGGAAGATTATTTAGATCTTTAGAAGTATCAGACCAGTCATGGATGCTGTTGATTACCATTTGAAGTCTGTTCCAGGACATTTCGATGTCTTTTCCACTGAGAGATAAATGTGCGATGGTTAGATTTTCCGTGTATAGAACTCTTGTATACATCAAGTACGGATGATACCTAGATACGCCAGCCTTGATTTCGAAAAAAATCAGTTTTCGTCTTAGATGTAGATGAAATTTTGCAAGGTCTGGTATACTGCGCCCTTCAAAAGCTATTTATCCCCCGTTCTCTGCCTAAAGCACATCGGTGAGTCCTATTTCATCAAGAAACTTGATTAATAGGCCCTGTTTTAGTGGGTGAAGGTCTTCTATGGTCACATTATACATCCCAAAACATTTCCTCCTGCGGGCTAATGTAGCTCCGCAGTTTGTTAGTAAATGTGTTAGTGTATCTTCTACCTCCTTGCAGAATGTGCCATCTTGGATTGTTCCAATTTTCTTTAGGTGTCCATTTAATCTACAGTGTCCTGTTAGCAATCCTGTTAGGATTCGCAGTCTGTTCCTGCTTCCTTTGACACATTCAGTGATTTCTTTCTTGCCAAAATTGGTTAGAAGATTCTTGGATTATCTTTGTCCTAATTCCATTGTTTCTTCATTTTCTTTTTGTCCTTCTGTCTGAGATATTCGTTAATAGTGTGGATTCCTATGCCACAGAAGGGTTCGGGTCCTATCAGCGGTGTGGCAGCCCCTTTCCTTGCAAGGGTGTCCGCTTTCTCATTGCCTTCTACTCCCATGTGTCCTGGGACCCAGCAGAGGCTGACTTCATTCTGCATACCTAGTGTGTTTAATTTGTTTTTGCAGTTCAGCACCATCCTTGAACTAATGTTTGAGCTTAGTGCTTTGATGGCTGCTTGACTATCTGACATGATAGCTATATTCTTATTTTTGTATCCTTTATTTAGATTGAATTGGATACATCTTTCAATTGCGTGAATCTCAGCTTGGAGATACTGGTGTGTTTTCTCATGGGTTTTGAGTATTTGGTTCCGGGTCCAAATACTCCTGCTCCCGTACCTTCTTGTGTTCTAGATCCATCTGTGTACCTGCGGATGGTGCCATTTTTAAAGGAGTTATTTCCCTTTCTTTCCCATTCCTTTTTGGTGTCCAGATGCATTCGGAATTTTTGGTTAAATTCAAATATCCTGTTCATGTCGTCCCTTGGAGCCATGAGTAATGGATGGTCTTTCCATAGTTTGTTTCTGTCTCTCCATTTCAGTTTTATTCCTGTTGGAGGTTTCTCTCTGATAAAGTTGATTATGGTTTTCTGTGCTGTCCTTTCTACCATGTGATGTAGGGGGATTAGTCCTAATATCTTTTCCATGCTAATTGTAGGACATGTTCTCATTGCGCCCGTTATGCAGATGCATGCAAGTCTCTGTATTTTTGTGAGTTCTTTCCTTTTGGTTATTTGTTCTGCTTTATCAGCCCAGGCTATAGCTCCGTATGTAAGTAAAGGTCTTACTAAGTTTTCGTCTTAACTTGCAACAATCTTTCCAAAAGGTAAGAAGTTAAAAGTTCAACGCATTAGCTTTGGAATACTTTTTAAGCTTATGTTTTAAACCTTTGTACCAGAAGTTGTCAAAGGCGTGCCATGCGTCTAGGAATAAATTTTTCCAGAACCTTCTCAGTAACACAGTGATGCTATGTGTCTGATCGTTGGTTGAACGATTGGCTCTAAATCGTAACTGTTGACTTCGTGTGGTGGTTTAGTTGAATTTGAAATCAGAGCATATCTCGGTTTCCTTCTAAATATTAGAGACATACCTGTGTCTTATTGTTGAATAAATTCTATGTTAGGAAACTTTTTTCAAAATATTTCCTGTTATCAAGTCTAATCCTGAAGCTTAACTGTAATTTAAATTGGTTTTTGTTTCATTGGCTATTTCCTTCGAGTTAAAGGGTTTAATCAGTGTTTCGTAAGAATCGTCTAGAAGATGATTTGAGCATATCATTTTATTTTAAAGTTTCTGCCAAGTTTTTTGAATGTCTAATATGTCTGGACAATGAAGGTACTTTTTTTGCATTACGACCATATACCAGATAATGCCGGTTCAAGGATAAATCTAATGAGAAAATATTTTTCGGTGTATCCTGGCAGAACGTCTGTAAATAATGACCTGTTTCAAATTAGTGCCCAACCCCAATCTTTAACAGAAAAACAAAAAACTATTTCACACTAAATTTAACAAGGAAAGGATTGTTGACGCAACACTTATCTCGCTTATTCTTCCATGCTTATAATTAAATTAATCAAATCCTACTCCGTATTGGTGTAATTTCTGTAATCCAAAAAAAAGCCGTTGTAATAAAAATCTCTTACCTCGGTTAGCCTGTTGGCAAGGACGCATCCTGCCGAACCAGCACCGACTATGATGAAGTCGTACTTCGGCAGGATTTTCTTCGCATCGGGAGGCTCGTTCGTGAAGTACCGTACTCCCCTGTTAAGGTAGGACAGCAGATTCCCGATAAGCCCCGGGTCGTAGTCCTGGCCGTACGATAAGCACAGCAGGTGGAGTAAAAAGGCAACTATCAACATCTGCAATCAAAATGGAAATTGAATTCAATAAAAAAAGTCCTTGTATTTTTTTTCTTCAGATTGTGGAATAGACGCTAAAGTGAATTTTGAAAGGTCTTGGAGAAGGTATGCCAATTAATGAGATCACACGACACATTTCACAAGGTAAACAAATTCGCGAGGACGTGCGATTTATAAAAGGAAATATTCAAGTGAGTTCCGGTACTTTCTAGGTGTACAACCCTTGAATTGCCGATTACAAATCGCTACTTGTACTTAGTGAAATGTCAAACGGCTCAGTTCAAAATGTTTTGTTCTTTTCAAAGATCATCGTTTTCATTTTTTCAAAGATATTTAATATTCAAATTATCCTTTATCCTATGCAACGATCAACATAAAAATTTAAATCTGGCCTTTTTGATATAAATCGTTCTTTTCTATAAATAAATATGTGACTTATATATGCATGTAAGCGTGCTAGTGTATGTGAATTTTTGTGTGGGAAATTATTAAAATTTGAGAAATTAGTCATCGATTTTATAAATGATCAGGTGTCATGTTTCATTATCTTTTTTATGATAAAATATAGCCAAAATTGCATAAGCCTTTTAAATTATTCATAAATCCTCTGATTTCATCTACATTCAACAGTATTACCATTAGAAAGCTTAATTTCTTTTCTTTAGACCTAGTCAGTACGGATTTTATTTCATTTTAGGTGAGAAAAAAAATGAAATTAACAAAATCCCAAAATGTTTTGTTTTATATCTCCGATTCCAATTTATTTACAGAGACCAAGTTTGCGACATTACGTGAAGTTTGTGTGCTTCTAAACTCCAGTTTCATGTGGATCAGTGGAGGCGTTTCAATGTTATTACAATTTTCATGATTTTCGAAAAAAAAATATTTGAGAATTTTTTTTACTAAAAATTTGTTTTGGATTGTCGTTCAAAAATGAATATCAGATTAAAAAAGTAAATAAATAAAATTAAAAAACCTACTTTGCTACCTAGCTCGGTCACAAATTACGTACTATACTGAGTAAGATGTATATGTACGTAGTATATGTACGATACTAATGTACTATCTCTACCTGTCAAGTATAATTTTGACATATAGACCGATCTAATCTCTTTTAATGCTATCCTGTATATTATTTTTATATCCTAAAAAAATTAACAATAATTTTAAAAAAGGCGATGGTGAATTGCACCAAGCAGTAAACACAAGTGACTTATAAATTCCGCCAATTGAATACAACTCTTCAAATTACAAAATCAAAATAGAGAAGTAGATACTATCGATTATTATGACCTGTTTTCTCGTATATATTAGTAACTATGGATATATCTTTTGGTATTAGTACAAAACGTGAATCTCTGCGGATTTGTAATAATTTCAAGTTTTGAAAACAGAGGGAAATGTTCACTGGCAAAATTAAATGGAGATTAACTGTACTCAAAATTTCAATTAATTATTCTTTTTATCAAAGGTCTTGGCTAAGATAAAAAGTTAGTGTCACGAGCGGGAAATCCTGTTAAACATGTATGGATTAATATAATCAAAATGATTAAATATGTCATTACGCAAATAACTTAAAAATTGACTTTACGCTCAACCCCCGTAGAAATTTATTTATTTTTTAACTTACAGAATCCAGATTATAATTGTATTAAACGCGACTTGTACAATTTCAAGGGAAAGACGTATGGAACTTTACCTACTAACATAGATAAAAAAGCTCTCAAAGGGCGCAGTATATTACTCACCCCATAATTGCCCACACCATATAACAATATTTTAACATAAGCGAAGCGAATTGTAAATGCTCTCTAGACAAAACCACGCTAATGAGCATTTTTTGTTGATTAATGACAATGGATTGGTAATTTTTAGTTCTTTGACTAACTTAAATCTTTGATTCCTATAGATGGTACTTTTACTTATTGTCCTAAAGACTTTTTCCAGCTTTCAACCATTCATGGGGAGTTTGTGTGTTGGAGTGCTACTAAGTCTTATCTGTATTTTGATTTGCATAGCATGAATGAGTAAAAAAACCCTTTCTTCTTCTTTTCTCTTTAATTTTGCTGCACTTTAAAATAATATTGGCACTATTTACAAATACACCCTAAGAAATTTGGGGGTTACGACTGACAGGATAAGGATTGGCGCACTTTACTATCCCCCTTCCCAAAAATCTAATTGTATTATAATCTTGTACATACATGCACAGCAAAGGCAGAAACCATATTTTAAAATATTATTAAAATTATTTAAAATAATTTTTATCTCGGCTCCTAGGGTCCATTGGCAAGAAAGCTCGTAGTATCGCCCCAAAAAGGTTCATTAAATTAGGTCATTACACGTCCATAGATAAAGGTAAATTTTTATGATAATGCCCGTTTTTGATTGATCTGTATCTTAAGTGTAAAGAGATCGCCAGTGAAATTGGATTGTTTTGTTGGACCTTGAGTTATTATATTTACCGGTAGTTGGCTTGTATTTAGTTTAATGGTGGTACATTAATAATAAATAATTTTAATTAAGAAATAGGCCACGCGGCAGAGAGTGCAAATCGGCTCGTTCTCATGGGGGTCAATCACCGCGTCTTCAAATTCCTTCCCGACCGAGGCTGGACTGCTAAGGTTGTGGAAATGTGTGAATCAGCCAGTCTCACCCTCAACTAGCAAGGAGTCAATCCCCAAAATCTTCCCGATCGGGGCCCCACTGCTGAAGTGGCAGAAAAGTACAAATCAGCTGGTTCTCATCCTCGGCTGGCCATGGGTCAATCATCTCATACCCAAATCCTTCCCGAACGCCGGCAGGTTCAGCGGTTACCAAAATTGAATAAAAACTGGCCGCGGTGCAAGAGAAGAGCATTTTAACTTTGGAATGAAGCAGGTGCAACCTAAATTCGCAATGCAGCGGGGCGTGCAGGCCGTCATCCTTGTTGTGGGATTTTGTTCTCCCTTGTTGAGAAAATTGGGTTAATAGTCGGTGTGTAGCGGCGCGAGGTACATTTAAGAGTTGTCGAGGTATTGGTATATTGGTCGAGGTCGATTTGAAGATGACCACTTTTTTTTCATTAGGATCCTTGTCAAAACGCAAAAGTCAGTTTTTATATTTATTTATTTTTTTAATTAAAAGTTGTCTACAGTCGTAATACATTTATATTAATTCAATTCAATGTCAATTAAACTCAACTTCGCCATTCATTGCGATACTTGGCACCAATGCATAAAGTAGAAATTTGTGTCATTATTGTCAATAATAATAATTAGAAAACCTTTAAACCTATTTTGTTTTTCATAAACCTCTACTCTCTTACTCGTGATTTTATTGTGATTAAACAAGAAATTGTTTTTTTTTTGTTTTTGTTTTTTTTTAATTGTATTTAACTCTGAAAAGACTCTTGAGCAAATCCTCGTTTTGTGCTCGTGTGTCCTTGCTCATGATACTAAAAATATTATTTAAAAAAATAATCACTTGGTTAACATTTTCGAAAAAATATGTTTTATAGGGTTACAATGATTTTAAATTTGGACCTAAGACCTCAACATTTAACTGATCCGGTCCAGATTCCAAACCTTCCATGCCAACCTATCGCGCCATCCTAACCGTACTGGTCGAGCCCTGTCGCCTCAACCGACGGTGGCTTCGGGACCTCCTTGACACCTAATCATGCACATTGAGTCAGCGATGGCTGGCTCCTCAAAGCATGTGTTCTACCTGTGCACTAGTGTTGTGTGATACATTAATCATGTATACATATTCGTATAGTTTAGGTGACAACCTGGAACATGTATAATTTTATGTAGAGACTAAAACGATAGTTTGTAGGTCATTTCTAATAAATAGCTCTTATAAATCAAGTGCTGCTTCTCCACAGTTTTAAATATTCTCAACATTTGAATTGTCACGTGTATATACGTGCAGAAATACTTTTATAGTGGTTCATAAATAATAATTTCAGAACTATTTAATGGTTATGTATGTATGTTTATTATATATTTGCATAACTATCGATGGAAAAATGTGTTTGCTAATAATTTTAATTTTTGTGAACGTTTCTTTGTCACATACATAAATTATTTTTCATCCAGTTTTACAGGTATTTCAATTTTCACTAGGTTGATTAGAACTATCTACAACAATTTAAGTGTGTGCGTGTGTTTTCACTTTGTACCTATAAAGAGTGTTCGGCTACTCGTGTTACAAACTTTGTCAGTAGATTCTACATTCAAGAAGGAACCAAAAAGTCTTAATTAACAATGGTCCGAATCTCAACAGTTTCGTTGGTATTTCACTTTTTCTGATTTTTTAAGATTTCACGTCCTTGCTTCAAATAAACAATGATAACTCCAAAACGAAAAGATTTTGGGCAAATCCGTTAAAACCATTGAAAACTACGTTAAATTTCCCATAAGATGTGATCAATACTAAACTTGTAAACTTTGAAAGAACTTTGAAAAAAAAATTTTTTTCAAAGTTGAAAACCTTACTTACTTCGAATCACCATAGTAAGTTTTTCAACTTCGAAAAAAATATTTTTTAAAGTTCTTGCTCCTAAAACACTTTTTTCACGAACGTTTACAAGTTTAGTATTGATGACACCTTATTGGAAACTTAACGTAGTTTTCAATGGTATCAACGGATTTGTCCAAAACCTTTTAGTTTTCGAGTTATCATTGTATATTTGAAGCAGTCGTGAAATCTTAAAAAATCAGAAAAAGTGAAATAACTCCGAAACTGTTGAGATTCGGACCATAGTTAATCAAGACTTTTTTGTTCCATTTTGAATGTAGAATCTACGGGTAAAGTTTGTAACACGAGTAGCCGGACACCTCGTATATTCTTCACAAGTTTGTAAATATTTTTTAACGGGATGGAACAACACGAAAAACAAGGCTGGAAGACGAGCGTATTGCGAGAATCGCAATTCTGACCACTTTCTCCATAAGTTGAAATTGTTTACCTTTTGAAAATTATTAAACAACCCCGCTCAAATTGAGACGTGTCTG